CTCTTAGATCTACGATCCAATGGGTTCACCTTGGAGAACTCCCATCAGCTGCCAGACTCAGTGTTGCTGCCTGAGTATCAAGCCTCAATATATTCACAACAAAGAAGAGTTGAAGGGGATATCAACATTGAGAACCTCCTGAAGTCTCAGTGTTACGGTTTCAGATGTTGTGTAAACAGGAATGCAGGTTTGTGAGTTTGTATTTTCTCTTTCGAGATGACTGTTTAGCGACAAGAATATGAATGGACTTCCTTCAGGGCAGCTCACAAAAGAATTTGTTCCTGGAAACTGCAGTAAATCTGATGCTTAACACAAGGAAATAATACCTCTTTTCCAAACTATCCTATCTGGGTATGCAAGGCTCTTCATTCTGACCCCAAACTATATTTCTAGCTTCATAACACCTTCCTCCCCACAGAAGCCCAGCCAAACCAGCGTGTTACCCACCTCATTACAACTCTTATTTCCACAGCCTTTGACTGGCTATTTCCCTCAAATGTAGAAATCCTCCTCACCCACCTCTTAAAATCCCTAGCTTCCTCAAGTCTGAGTTCAAAGGCCACCTTTTAAATGAACCCTTCCCTGATTTTCCCAGCAACTACCGACTTATCCCCACGAACTTATCTAGTGTGTATTTCAAAGGGACCTAAATGTGTACATGTTGTGGCCATCAGCTAGATTGATAAGTACCTCAAAGGCAAGGACTGTTTTAATTTTTATCTTGTAACCTCAAAGCCTAGCACAGTGCCTGCCACACTGTAAGTGTTTAATAAATGCTTGTTTATTGATTAATCATCTATGAACTAAGACAATGACAACTGCAAATGACCTAGTGTTTTCCAATATTAACAGGCTGTGTTTTTTGGATTATTTGGGTTGTTTATTCTTGTTGTTGCTTTTGGGGGGGAAGGAGAAGGTTTTCCAATGGTGCTTTCCAATTTAACTAAATTAGAATTGTATTGCAATTCTATTAATAGCTTAGATTTTTTTTAACCCTTTCACTTTATCTCTTTCCTTATCTTCTTCCTTTCTTAGCCCAGCCACCCAAAAGGAGATTTTTAAAAGAATCATTCAGCACTCTAAGTACATTTTAATGTGCATATTTTCTCCAATCTAGAATGAAAAGTCATCAAATCAAAAGGAATTATTGCTGGGATATGCACTACCAATATCTCTTCCAAGGTAAACTCCCTCTAACAGTTCAGAGCCAAATGCCACCATCCTCTCTGTGGTATATTGGAAAAGAACAACAAACTTGGAATATGAAGAACTGGGCTTGAATTCCAGCTCTTTCACTTGGGCAAGTCACCCTTCTTTGGAGCTCAGTATCATATGCTTTAGCCCTTGAAGAACCCTAAAAAAAAAAAAATCAAACCCTATCTATTTATTTCACCTTTTTACTTTTCAGTTGAAGAAACTGTAGCCCAGACTCAGCAAGTGACCTGGCCTAGGTCAAATAGTTAGTGAAAAGAACTCAGAGGAGGATCTAGATCTCCTGCTCAATCCAGGATCCAGAGCTCCTCCTGGTACATCATGAGTAGCTCACAATTAGTTTAGTGCCTTAAAGACAAAAGAAAAGTAGAAAGAAAATTGAGTGCGGCATATGATGAATACAGAGAAGCTTGGAAAGATTTACACAATCTGATACAGAGTAAAGAAAGCAGAATCAAAAAAAACAATAGGCATAAATAACCACAAAACAAGGAAAAGTCAACGATGTAAAATTAGAAAGAACAAGCATGGCCCCAAAGAAGAGGAATGGGAAAGCATCCCACTCCCACTCCTTTGCAAGAGTGGGAGATCCACAGGTGTGGTACAATGCTTATACTTTCAGACTTTTTTATGTAGTAATAACTGAAACTGCTCGCTTTTTTCCTTATTTTTCTTTTTAAAAAATATACTGTTATACATGGAATGGCTCTTTGGAAGAGGAAAGGGCAAGGGAAGAAATATGGAGGATATGATATGGCGGAAAATTTAGGGAATACAGAAACAAAAGATAAATAAAAATTTATTTTAAAAATTCTGGTGACACTAAAAAAAAGATAACAAAAATTTATTTAAAAAAAAAATGAAAGCCAGAATAATCTATGCACTAGACTTCCAGGCCCTGAATAATAAAGATTAATACTGTGCCTCAAGGCAAACACCCCTGCACCCCTCCAACACCCCCACACACATATACCAACATACATTCATAGGATTTACTGTTAAAGTAATTTACTGAGCTCAGGCCACCAAAAAACACAATCAGCACCTTTATTTGGCTGATTTATATTCAGTGTTTCTTTTTCACTCACTGAATTTTTATTTCCACAACAGACTGTTAGATGTGTAAGTTTTTAAAAAGACTCCCAACATAGTAAAAGTCTCCTCACTGGTCTTATTTCTATTGTTATAGTAAGGGCAAGATTGGAAGCCATTCTGCTCCCAGACTTAACCAAGGAAAAGAAACAGCAAACCTTTTCTTCTGGGACTGTCCTATGAGGACAACTTGAAAAACTCCACTCAATTGCCAGTTTCTGCACTGTCATCAGAGTTTCAAGCCTCACCATATTTACAATGGGGGAGTCAGGGGAAAGCATGACCTTAAGCTGGTGAGTTGCCATTATGGTTTAAGATGTTGTGAAAACAGGAACTTGGATGTGGAATATAAAAAGAGGGAAGCTAAAGGAGATACCAACCTTGGGCACCTCCTGAAGAAGGTGTTACAGTTTCAGATGTTATATAAACAGGAATGAGGAAATGTGGGTCTGTGTATTCTTCTCTTTCAAGTGGCTTGTTAAATGATGAAAATATGAGTGGACCTCTTTTGAGGTAGCTCACAATAGAATTTGCTCCTAGAAACTGCACTGGATCAGCTGGTCACCACAATGAAATAATATCTCTTAAAACAAAGATTCTGATCTAGAGTCTTGCTAAGATGGCACAAGGATTGGCTGCTACCGACACATCTTCCTTCCTGCCTCCAAGTCTTCCTTTCTCCCCCCACTATGGTTGGTGACAACTCTGTAAGGAATACACAAGTCAAATGTATGAAAAAAAAATAGTACATCAATATAAAATTACTGATCAATCCATAAACATTCATTAAGCGACTATTATGTGTCAGTCACTGTGCTAAGCTCTAGGGTTACAGAAAGAGGCAAAACACAATCCCTGCTCTCAAGGAGTGTACAAACTAATGGAAGAGATAACATACAAACTAATACATACAAATAAGTTATACACAAGACAAGAAAGAAATAATTAAAAGACAAATGGCACTAAAATTAAAGCAGGGAAGCAAGTGGGCAGCAATGAGGAGGAAGAGCATTCTGGGCATGGGGGACAGCCAGAGAAAATGCTCAAAGCTGAGAGGTGGAGTGTCTTGTTCATAGAACAATGAGGAGGCCAGTGTCACTAGATCAAAGAATGTGTTAGGGAGTAATATGTAAGAGGAATGGAAAGGTAGAAGGGGGCTAGATTATACAGGGTTTTGAACATCAAGCAGAGGATTTTCTATCTGTTCCTGGAGGTGACAGGGAGCTGCTTATAATTCAATAAGAGGAATATAAAGAAGAAGCCTAGAAGTAGCTATATAAAATTATAAGAAGCAAAAAACAGCCAGAAAAAGAGTACATACTATATAAAAGATGGGGATAAATTCATATAGGATAATGGGGGATTAGGGGCAGTAATTAAAGAAGACAGAGTTGTTAGAGCATTTTATGTGTGTTCAAATATAAAGCTGTCTAAAAGACTTAGTTTTATTGTTTTTATTATTATTATCAAGGATCCAACCCTGGGCCTTAGACTTCACTAGCCCTCAGGCTCTTAAGGAAACAGTTCCTTCTCTTGCACACATCCCAATGACTCAACTTTGGTTCCAAGGCTCATAGCTTGTACCACTTTTCCTAGATTTCTGGATCACAACCAGAAGCAATAAGCCTCCTGGGCCTTTCTCATCCCTGGGGTAAGTTGGATCCTGGAGAGCAGAGATTTTCCACACCTGAACACTAAATAATCCCACTGTTTCTGCAGTCACCACTCCTAAGCATCCTTTCCTCTCTCTGCTCTCTCTTTGACCTCACCATAAATACTCCAGACCACAAGAGTGTGTTCTATGGTTTTAATAGCAAGAGAAAAAATAATTTCAAAATAATATACCAGAATAAAGTCATTTAAAATGCATGTAAAAGAAATCATTTGGCCTCTGACCACTATTCTATTTATTAAAGTTTCTCTCTGGGCTTGAATTGGACATCCCTGTTCCTCCAGTTTACCCCATCCCTTCCTTGCCTTAGAAATAAATGTCTGTTTATCTTCCAAAACTGAATTTAGGAACCACCACCCTAAATTTCTCCAGACCAAGATCATTATTAACCCAGGTTCACTCTCAAGCAAACAGGAAACCTATTGATATATCAAACGTGTGGTCCTCTCTACCCACAGTATCATGAAATTCTTTAGCTAATCAGATATCTAATGACAACTCCTTAACGATGAAAATTAAAGAAATAGCCTCAAATAAGTATGATAGATCATATCACTCCAAAACCAGAATATTACAATCCAAAGAGATACATGCCCTCGCCCTATCCCTTTCCTCCCAACTCAGTCAACTAAATTCAATCTAGACATCTTTTCCTTTAAAAGCTGATATACCAAACCCTTTCTCCCTAATCCCAAAAGGACTACAAGATGAGAAACCTTTCCAGAGCACTGAAGGCAAAGAAGTCAAAACTTTGGAATAAATTCTTAACCAAAAGGATGCTGCAGTTCTTTCCCATGCCCAATAAAGGCAGTCTTACTTGTCTCTTTAAAATCAGTGCCAATGTTAAGAAGCTGACAGGAGTTGGAGGGGGTGGGGGGATATGCTTTGAGAGAAAGAGAGGAATAGGAAGGTGACCCCCCCCAAAGACAATCAGTCTAATCATTTCCCAGGACAAAGGGGAAAGAGATTAGACTTAGGAAGTTGATTTTATAATAGAGATAATCATAGTACAATCTTTACTCACCTGCACAACTTCTATGCCCCTTTTCCTGTAAATAAAGAAAAAAAAAGAGATATTACTTTGACAAATAAGGAGCATGAAAATCTTCCCACGACTGAACCAAAGGGCATCAAATAAACAGAGGAAAGGAGTTTCCACTGAAGCTAAACAGATACCAAGGAGGTCCAAGGCACCAAAACTCACCCCCCCCCAAAAAAAAAAAATTCATACACCATCTCCATTTTAGGAATAATCAAAGGGGAGGCTCAAATGGTAAATTAACTTGGACAAGGTCATCCAGGGGTTAAGAAGCCAAGCTGGCACTACAGTATATCAAACAAAAACAGCCACCATTTTGGTATTACTCCTTAAAGAGTCAGAAGGAACCCCAATAATCACCTAGTCCAACCCACATCTGAGAAAGAATAACCATTTTAACACAAGAATATGCTCGTGTGGCAACAGATTATGCTATCATGTGTTTTAAGAAAGCTAGACTAAATGGAGAGAGTTTGGGGTAAGCCCATATTTTTGTTAACTATAAACACAACTCACTGCACTAGAGGATGCCTCTTTCATATTTATCCAGGCCATAACTTGGAAGAAATGCTACGACAGAAAGTTCAACTCTGTTCCCTGTGCCCATTCACTTCATCTATTGACAGTGTTTGTTTTAAAGGAAAATAGATGATAAACTTGAATTGTTAAATGATTTATACTTTTCCTCAAGCCTCATGTATACATTAGGTCACAGCAACTACTCCGGCTAATGGGGGCGGTGGGGGCATCACTTACTTAACAGTAAAATCTCACTCATTTTTACCTCTTCACTTCTACTCTAGTTGTTAGCCTCTTCACCTGGAAGGTCCTTCCCCATCTGCCTATTCAAATCCTCCAGATCCTTCAATATCTATTCTAGCTCTCAGAATTTCTGATGTCAAGGGCTCATAACCCTGGGTCCATGATAAGGAATCCCTCAACTTGGCTGGGGGGGGAATTGTAATGTTGTGATGGGGGGGGGGAGAACAACTATACTTTCACTCAATTCTAACTGAAATTTAGAATTTCCTTCATTTATGAATTTTTAAAAATTATTCTGAAGTGTCCACAGACTTCACCAGACTGCCACAAGGAGCCCGTGATACCCCAAAAAGGGGGGGGAGCCTAAAACTCCTATCCTCTAACAGTTAATCATCCATACCACACAAATACGCACCTTAGAACATACCCACACAGTGACTCATGTAATTTCCTGTTCCCTAAACAGTTCTTCATCAGCAAGGATAAAGTCTTAAAACTTCTAAATAAGTACCTAGCATGTATAAACTGTTCAACATACCACCAACCTAAAGAGAGTAAAGCTAACCACCTTCAAAACATGTCAAACTCTTTACCCTGGGGCGTATGGCCACAATGTTTTGATCAAACAAAGTTAACTAGAGTAAAAGGCATGTAAAGAAATGAAATCCTTTCTTGAACACGTCCCATGACCAGTCAAGTCTTGGGATTGCTTTGAAGTTTACTAGTGACATAAGACAACCTGACCATGCATTCAACATTGATTCTGACAGGAAAATGTTAACTGATGCTCTAAGGGGCCAACCCCACTCCTTGCGGGGGGTTTCTGTACACAGCAGGATGATAATTACAGTTTTTATGCCTCTTTTGAGACCCAACACAGGCCATAAACAACTACAAACTCACTCATTCCTGACAAGCCAATGTTGGAATCTGGGAAGGCTTACATACCTTTTCTAGTGTAAGTCCCTCTACCACTACAGATCTAAACACTTTCAAGCTTTGCCACCAAGTACATTTCCATCATGTCCCCATCTTCTTCGTACAAGAAATAATGTCTAGAGGTTACAGGTTGGCAGAATTTGGCTCATCATAAGGAAAAGAACCTTCTAACAATAAGAGCCATCCAACAATGCAACACGCTAGTTTGATTACTGTCGACAGAAATAGTGAAGCTGGGACTAACTAATCATTAGCCAGAGATGCGAAAAGAGGGACAAAATCAGAATAAATCAAAAAGCATTTATTAAGTGCCTACTATGTGCCAGGCACGGTACTAAGCATTGGGGATACAAATACAATGAATGAAACACTCTCTATCCACATGAAACATAACATTCTAAGAAGAATGTTAGAGCTTGAAGAGACCTTATCATTAAACATTTCCCAAACACCTACAGAATACTGTGCTAGAAGATGGCGAACATAGTAAGTTTAGATAAGACACATACCTCAAGGAGCTTAAGTTATTAGAGATCTCTCAAATTATCTTGTAATTACTGAATTATGTACGTATTGTATTCCCTCAGTACAATACAATCTCCTTGAGGGAATGGACTGTTGCATTTCAATTTTTTATTTGCACATTTGGTAGGGGCTTAATAATTGTTTGAATTTCATTAATTTGAATTAGTCTACTAAGGGATAAAACATATGCATATATAGCTATAAATATAAAATATGACATGATAATTGTATGAGAGGTGCAAAACAGTATAATGAAAGATCTAAAGGGAAATGCTACTAACATCAGAGGGAAATCTAGTGCTAGAAATACAAGCTGTAGCAAAAAGAAAAGGAAACTGAGGGAATAAGTATAGGCAAAGAAGAAACAAAATTATTGGGTTTTGTAGCTGATATGATGGTGTATCTAGAGAAACTTCAAAAGTCAACTAAAAATTAATTGAAAAAGTAACTTCAGCAAAGTTGTAGTTTAAAAAATAAATCCACATAAATCACCATCATTGCTTTATTACCAACAAAACCCAGGCAGAAGAACTAGAAATAAAAAATCCATCCAAAATAACCACAGAAACTAAAAAACATTTCAGAATATATTCTAAAAAGATTCAACCAGGAACTATATGAATCCAACTACATACCTTTTTTTTTCTGCAGAAATAAAGATTTCTAAATAAGTGGTGAAACATTAATTACTCTTGGATAGGCTAAGCCAAGATAATAAAAGTGACAATGCTATCTAAATTAATTTATTTATTCAATGCCATTCCAAACTACCAAAATTCTTCTGAAGAAACAAAAGGCAAAAATCTCATAGGAAATGATAAAAAAAAAAAGTGGGAAGGAAGGCAGCTAGTCATACCAGATCTTAAACTATATCACAAAACATTTCTTAATTACGTGTATAATTCACAGAAACAAACAAACACAGCAGACTATGGTATTTGATCAATTCAAAAACCTCAACATGAGCTAATTATTTGAAAAATGTCTAGGAAAAGTAGAAAAAAGTCTGGAAGCAATTAGGTTACAGACCAGTATCTCACAACATATACCAACATAAACTCCAAATGGATATATGATATAAATGGTAACACATAAACAAATTAAGAGGACCAAAACAGAAATTATTTCTATGCAAATGACTCCCATACATTTAGATATTCAACCCTAGTCTCTCTCCTGAACCCCAATCCCACGTTACATTGCTGCAATTACTAGACTTACCAACATTCAAACCTGAATGTCTTCATATCTCCCACATCTAAAACAATACCTAACAGATAGACTGACTCCAAAGGATAGATAAGTAGAAGACAGGGATGTATGGGAAGGACAGCCCTCTGGGCATAGGGAAAAGCACAATCAAGGCTAGAATCAGTCCAATTTAGCTACAGCAAAGAGGATAGTATGAAATGAAGATGGAAAGGTAGCAAAGGAATACATAACTTAAATATAAAAGGTTATGTCATAAATTAGAGGAACATAGAAAGAAATAATTTTCATTAACTATAAACAGAAAGATCAAAGAAGCTAACAGGATAAAGTGGATAATTTTTAATACGTAAGATTTAAAAGTTTTTGTACAAAGCTAATAGTTAAAAGTTATGAGAAAAGATTAACTAGAAAAATAACTACAGCAAGTTTCTCTGACCAAGGTTTCATATCCAAGATAAAATTAAAATTCATAAAAGCCATTTCCCAATAGATCAGTGGTCAAAGCATAAGAACAGGTAGTTTTGTAAAGAAGACATTCAAGCTATAAATAACCATATAAAAATACTACATATCACAAATAATTAGCCAAATTAAAATTAAGGCAACTCTGAGATTCTGTCTCAGACCCATTAGGCTGGCAAAGATGACCCCCAAAAAGGAAAAAGAACTGTTGGAGGAGCTATGGAAAAAATGGGACATTTATACACTACTGAAAAAAGAAAGTGTCACTGAAGCTTTTTTTTTTTTTAATACACATTAGAGGACTGAAGAAAGGTCAGAAGGAAACCTCGGTAAGTAGGACAGCTTTCAAAGTTATATGTTGAATTTATTGTATATTTAAAAGAAAAGGCAAGCTGTATATAGTAGAGATTCACAGTTTCATGTACAATTTTATTTTCTGTTTGACATTCTACATGGAAATCATTCTATTTGGTGCTTAAGTTCAAAATAAAATAAAAATTTTAAATACAGAATGGTACTAAATTTGTAGTAGGCCCTTGAATACCAGGCAAGGGGACTTAAACCTTACTCTGTGTCAAAGGAGATATTTGTTTGTTTTTTTCTATATAAAAAGATTAGCCTGGCAGTGATATGAAGATTGGATTAGAGAAGGAAGACAGAAAAGTCTGGAAAACCTGTTAGAAGGCTATTTCATTAATGGAAGTAGATGCTAATATGGATGGTGGCAAAAAAGGGAAGATTTGCAAAGCTGGTAAGAAAGTGGATTAGAGGAGGCAGCTAGGTGGCACAGTGGATAAAGCACTGGCCCTGGATTCAGGAGGCCCTGAGTTCAAATTCGGCCTCAGACACACAACACTTACTAGAGCTGTGTGACCCTGGGCAAGTCACTTAACCCCATTGCCTACCCAAAAAAAAAAAAAAGAAAAAAAAGGTAGAATAGACAAGAGTTATTTGGTCAAATAAACACTTAGTCTTTATGTGGTATAGGCGAGGATGGAGATGAAAGAATCAATAGCAAATCTAACATTTTGAACATCAGAATTTGAATGAACAATGAAGTCACTGAACTAATCAGTGATAACAGAAGGAAAATCAACTTTAAAGAGAAAA